AAGAGAACTCGAATTCACTGGTTCACGAAGTTTATTATATACAGTAATTCGAGACATGGGTTTCAAATTTAAAAAAATTAATAGTCGAAAAATTTTAATGGAAAGAAATCATGTGATTACAGCTAAAGTAAAATTTTTGATGCGCTATCTACAGTTAAAATATTCGGGGGAAGATATAAATTTTATATTTTTGGACGAAACTTGGATATATAAGAATGGTTCTGAATTACGTAGGTGGGTAAAAGACGATGATAAACGTTCGGTTAACATTAAAATAAAAAGTGAAGGAGACAGGTTTACTGTACTACATGCAGGTTACAGAGGTGGCTTTTTAGAAAATTGCTTATTAGTTTTTAATAGTAAGAATACTGATAAAGATTATCACAAGACGATGAATTTCCAAATCTTTTATAATTGGGTCAATAAAAATCTAATTCCAGCAGTACAAAATTTATCTGGCAAAAATGTTGTGATAATGGATAATGCGCCCTATCATTCAGTCCTCAAAGAAAAAACACCCACACGATCATCAAAGAAAAGTGTTTTAATACAATTTTTAATTGAACATAATGTAAATGTTAATGAACGCGAAACAAAAGCTCAACTTTGGGAAAAGATCGTGCCATTTTTGCAGCAAAATAAAAAAAGGTATGTCGTCGATGATCTTCTTCTGCAGCATAATATTGAAGTGTTGAGACTTGCTCCGTATCATTGTCAACATAATGCAATAGATCTAGTTTGGGCCTATTGCAAGACTTATTACAATAAGCATATCAACGATGTCCTTCCACGAGAAAAATCGTGTGACTAACGTGTGGCATACTGCTTTGTCAAATTGCATAGCAGAAATATGGAACAATTGCATAACTCACGTTGAGAACTTAATAGAAAAAGACTGGCATACTCATATGGGTAATACTTTAACGATCTTCCTCCATTTATCATAAACCTCGAAGAGTCTGAATCAGAAGGTAATAAAGATGAATTCAGTGATGAAGACGATGAATAAAAAATGTTTTGGGGTGTTTATTTACCATTTGTTTTGTTCTATTTCATTCAATTATAATTAAATTTATTAGTATTTTAACCGTTTTAACCTCAACTATTTAGTTACTGAAAATATTACTAAAAATCAGGAAAACAACATAAATTTTATAAAGGTCCCTAGATAATACCAACAGAAACCCTAAAAAATTTATATTGACAAGTATTATAGAAAAAAAACGAACTATAGTTTTGCACTAGCACTGTTACTAGGATTAACACAAGACCTAGAACTAGAATCATTCGGGTTTAGCTGTCTTGAAAGACGTGCGGCTAAACCCGAATGGTTCTAGTTCTAGGTCTAGTGTTTGTTCTAGTTTTGCCCTAGCACTATCACTATAACTAACATAAGACGAAGTAGAATCATTTAGGTTTAGCCGTCTTGAAAGACGTACGGCTAAATCCGAATGTTTCTAGATCTATTTAAGTCTAGTGTTAGTTCTAGTTTTAATTGTTATTCAGTGGTACATTTTTATTGAATGAAAAGTAACTAGACCTAGAATTAGAAACATTCGGGTTTAGCCGTGCTCCTCTTAAAACGGCAGAAACCTTAGGGTTGTCATCCGGTATCCAAACCCCGGTATATCGAAACCATTGGTAGGTTTGTGTATTTTACACATTTCCTCTTTAGACTCATTAAATACTTGATAATGATAAACCCATTAATCAGGGTTTAATAAATGTCAATAATTCCC